AGACAGAAGGATTTGAGGCAGCCTACATCCACAGGAGATCTGTGGTTAGTTCTGCAAGATGCTTGGAACAACCTACCTGCCAAGTTCCTTGGCAAGAAGAATTGATGCTGTTTTGAAGGCAAAGGATGGTCGCACCAAATACTGATTTGATTTGGATTTCTCTTATGTTCGCTAACTTTGCATTTTGTAAATTGATAAACATAAACAATTACAATATACATTTTTGAAAGCATTCTTTACAGTATTTTTTCACACTTGCCTAAAACTTTTGCACAGTACTATTTTTTTTCCATAAGTACCTGGACAAAATTATATCATTAATTAAAGGTGGTGGAGGGATAGGATTACTTTTAACAATGAATTGTGTTCATAAAGTTTTTAAAAAGCAGAAAAAGGATCCGGCCAGAAACGCCACGCCTGCTGAGCCCAACCTGAGTGTTCCTGTTATGTACAGCTTCAACTTTTAGAATTCTCAGTCACGGTCATGCTGGCTGAAGAACTGGCAGCTGAAGTCCAGACATCCGGATAGTGCCCAACTTGGGAAAGGCTGCTGTATGCCACAGAAACAGGTAAGTAACTTGTGCTTTATTATTTAGATATCAGTGAATCCTTTTATACTTTTGGTTTCCCAATTGTTTTGAGTTAGTCCGTTTTCTAATACTGTATTAAGATGAGTCTCCGGGAATTTTTAAATCTTTGATTAAAATGCTGGGGCCTGTTTTGCTTTCCTTGCAAAGAATCATGGCTTTGCATCAGTTTTAAAGTTTTTTTTTTCCTGTTTGTTTTATTGAAGCAATTTTAAGCGTTTCCTTCTTCAATGCTCTGTAGCTGTACTTTTTGGCTAAGGTGGACCCTGCCACCACGCCGTGTGCTTGCATTGCTGCCTGCCACAGTTCGTGCTGGGAACAAAGAGCCAGGTAGGGCATCTCCTCCAAACAAGGTGATCCTCACATCGGCTTCAATAGCTTTGGCCAAGCTGGATGCGTAACTATCCAGAGATTTGTGAACTTCAGCCTTTATGTGAAGGATAGAGTTCTTTGCTGCTTCTGAACAAAGAAGAGAGATTAGTACAATAATACCATATGAATGCCTTATACATAAGGGTTAATTTGGACATTGTAGACATCTCTTCTGTAAGAATAAATTCAAACAAGATTCATTCTTTTGTGGCTTTGGGATTTCTATGTAGCACACCGGAGTTATAAATCTAACAAAATGGGGAGTTGAGCATATGTATGATAATTTAATCTGACAAGGATGACATCTATCCATAAACTTAAAACTAAAGTATGTGAATCCTAGCTATCAGCAAATTATAACAAAGTCAAGCCCTAAAGGAAATATGTTTCTCCAATGACAACAAAGAGTAAAACTCCCTTTATTAAATGCTGTGCTTCTCTCCCCACCTCTGCCACTGCAACAGGCAGCCTAGAGATCATTCAAAACTACAAAGCATTATTATTTCAACATTTGCAGCAGCAAATTAAATTCTCCACCTACACTTCTAATTTTGAACTTGCAACTATACAACATATGGCTTCCTGTTTCCACTACTTCATTTTGTTTTTTCTGCTGACTTCTGTTCTGTACGTCCTCTGCACTTTTTCTGTATGATTTCTGAGCTTTTTGTAGGTACTAATATTCACTGCTAAGAGGGAGACAGTTTTTCTACATCATAGTTTAGTTCCCCATTCCTCCTTTCCTTTACAAATGTTTGTTTTTTTCTTTCCATCTTTTTCACTTTCCTTTCCCTCTGTACTCTGTTTTATGTGGAAAACTCTCCTTTGCTTGTTCTTTTCTCTTTAAGGAATCTCTTTATAACAAGTGTTTACTTTATCCTTCCTGAATCCAGTATAATTAATTTTCCTCCTACTTTTTTAGACATACAGATCATTGCATGCCAGATCAACAGACTTTGGCCAGTGAGGATGCAATTGTTGATATACATCTATTCTGTATAGATCTATAAATCTATAGATGTATAAATATCAGTAATACATGGTCATTACATTGAATTTATCTACAAGCAAAAATCTTAAAAGCTCCTATTGCTGAGAGCAAAACTACACCCTCTGAAAATGTCCAATAAATTCATGTCCTGCAAAATACAGTGGTACCTCGGGATACGAACGCCTCTACTAATGAACTTTTCGGGTTA